TCATGTAAGTCCGGCATGCGGCCATCTCGGTGCGGTAGCAGACCTCGCTTGGGAAGAGTTGGTAGTTCCTGGGACGGAACGTCAGTTGAAGGGATTCGATGGCTGCGATGTGGCACTTACCCTAGGTATTGGAACTGGTCTAGGTCATCCAATTCCTCCTCTTTCAAGTCTTGCAGGATGATGTCGTCGAGATAAAGGAGGTCTGACGGGTTTTCGTCGAGGAAGAAGCCATCTAGATGGGTCAGTCGGTCGTCGCAATTGACAATGGCACTGGGTCTATCTTACATTCAGCCCAAAGAAAGTCATTCGGATGGTCGCCATAGCTGACAAAAATCTCTTCTCCCTTCTCTTCAGAATGGTCAATATCAACGCTGCCGTCAACGGGCAAGTACATACTTCGTGGAAAAGACTTACCATGTGGCTTCGTCGTAACGAAGGTGTATTCCAACCCATCAAAACATGCTTTGCAGCCCTAACGTCAAGCGAAAATTAGCATAAAATGATCAAACCGACTTCCAAACATGGAGGGAGATACGCTAGACCTTACCCGGTCACTATTATGATTAAAGTAATCAGCAAACGGCATCATAGCAATCGCATCATTATCATCACTAGGCTTCCCGTGGCTCCTGGCATCACTGTGGCCCACCAAGTTTCCATCGTAGTAAAAGCAGCGCGTGTTGATGATCAGCCAGTAGTACAAAAAGTCCTCCCAGCGCGTCGTGGGCAATGTAACAGAGACAATCTCCCAGGCGCGAAGCAGGCGGGCCTTTTGCTGGGAGAGGATGTTTTGGTGCTTAGAACGTGCATAGGGGTGGCTGAGGTTATCGGGCTCGACTGTAGGCCAGTGCCCTGATAAGCATGGTGGCAATTGCAGACCGTCAGTCGTCGTGTGCTCTGCGATTTTTCTCTTCTTGGTAGAGACGTGCTCGGGGGAGGCCCCGATTGTCTGATCGTCTTTCGATGCCCTGGCTTGAGAGGGCACTGTCTTGAGCCCTTCGTCCCAAGCCAGGGGCATGCTTTCGAGGATAGCACTCCTGGAAGGCAGCACTTTCTTCCAAAGCTCAAGCTCATGGTGAGAACCACTTTCCTCACCATGCCCTGCAGCATCGCCTTCGTCCTTGACAACTGGGGAATCCCCCTTGACCACCCCTGACCCGTGAATCAAATACGCAGCCATGACGCCCTGCACCGGCGCATCCTCAGGAAACAACTTAACAAAGCTGCCAGGCATGCTATCGATAGTCAACATAGCCGCCAACGGCACCGTCAGGACAGTCTCTTGCGCCTAAACAAATCGTAAGCTTCATGCGTTTTTCTTCATGAGTAATCACCAGCAATTGCCTGTCACGGGGGAAAGAGTGCTGCAGCAGCAGCAGCAGATGCACGAACGGTGCATGCCTTACCTGGATGTCTCGTGCAGCGTAGATCCCGACGCCTTGTCCTGGCATGGCCAGCGGCTCGATGCCGTTAATTTGGACGCCGCGATCGATTGACCATTTTGTGAAGGCGTGGTGTTCTTCCCCAAGTTGGAGCGGCATGATGATGATACTTGAGGGATATACGATTACACCTATGTTGAATGCGAAAATGCTGCTCCCAGGTTCAAGTCTCGAGTTTTCCATACAATGGAAAGATGTTTTGGAAGTAGACGTCATAGCAGGAAAAAGTAGGAGGATAAAAAAAAAACAACAAAAAGAAGTTGAGGTCGCACTGGGAATCGAACCCAGATCTTCAGAATCAGAATCTGAGGTGATAACCATTACACTATGCAACCATTTCTTAGCAGTTTTGGCCTTGCAAGTCTTATGTGTGCAAACCCTTTCATTCCCTCCCATTCCCAATCCTTGCCTCCCCTTGCTTCGCTTTGCTGTGCAGATACACTCACACATGTGTTTTCGCTGTCATTGTGAAGAAGAGAAAGAGTGAAAAGAGTACAGTAACAACAACCTATCTGCAGGCGACTACGCGTCATCACATCAGGCATTGAGTGAAGCATTGAGCATTCCCAGCTCTTCAGCAGCCCGCATCTGTCGCGTCATTTCATCCGGCTGCCGTACATTATTAGTACAGTTGTACTGTGTGTATCTCAGTTCAGTGCACCTTTATCGCGGTGCCGACCAGCCTCACCTTACAACATCACTTCATACCATCCCATCTTACATACATACTACCTACTCCATCCTCCCCACGCCACGCCACACATAAGAACGACAAGAAGCCACCGGCCAACGACTTGACCTTGGCTTATTCCCGCACAGGTGACCAGATCACTTGTCTGTCTCTCCCGTTGCGTTGCGCCTGCTTGGCAGCTCTTATATACGCCGTCCCACCTGAGCCTGTTCGCTTTGCCCTGCCCTGGCCTGCCCGATTAGATTTCGCCATAAAGACTGGCCTTAGCGGTGAATTGCAATTGCGATTGTTGTCTTCAGTTGATCCTTGATTGTGATGGTTTATGGTCGCGGTTGAAGATATTGAATTGAGTTTGATCGATCGATCCTGAACATGACGTTCAACCCGGATAGGTTGCCCGCGTGAGTT